TATTTAAATAATTGTATCATTATTAAAGAAAATAAAGAAACAAAAAGAGAATCTTATAGCCATAATATTATAAAAAAATTATTTTGAAATGCAGAACATTTTATCATGAACAAGATATTGTAAATAGGTTACTTGCTATACATAAGTGCATAAATCAATGTAATTATGCTGAATATGAAACGATAGAAATTAATTGAAATATTTCAAAACATTTTTCCATTATTGACTATCCTTACATGAAAATGTTTCAAATATATGAAATGAATGAATAAATCAGAATTATACAAATTTAAAATGAGTATTTTAATAAATATTTTTAAAAAACTTATTGAGCAATGCATAAAATTAAAATTTATATTTATTTGTAAATGTCAGAAAAAATAGAATTTACATAATTTGCAGGTTAAAAATATTATTTTGAAATAAATTGTAATTTTTATTATTAAAATACATTTTTCCTATTAAATTTTGCATTCAATAGAGAAAAAAATAATTCATTATTATTTTCCACTTGTACCATGGGTTTATATATTCTATTTTGTTAGTCTAATACTCTAATATACTGAACAATTTTAAAGTATTTGCTTGCAAGCAAAATTAAATTAAGAAAACAATAAAAAAAAATCTGATGTGATGAGCGCATAACCGACCGCAATGTGTGTTGTCTAGTTTAGTGAAAGTGTTACAGAATATTATAAAAATGTCTGTTAAATACTTCTTTCCAATTTCTAGGACATTAGACAGCTTAAAGTTAACATACCTAGAAAAATGTAAATTTGGCTTTTAGTAGAGTTTCGCTTTGTACTACCCGAATTTCCTGAACTGCTCGCCAGTTAGTTTTGGTAACAACCAGAACTCAAATATCAAATTTCAAGAAATTAGATCAATTTGTTCTGTAGATATGGTGAAAAATGTAAAATCGGACCGGACCGCAGATCAGTTTTCGAGCCCTGATCTTTCCAAAAAATTTATATTTTCATTGTTTTAATGCGAAAAATTTTAATATTAAATTTCAATGAAATCGGTTGATTATTTCTCTTTATATATGCAAAAATGTAAATATAGGCCCATAGTAAACTTCGAGTTGCTGACACCTGATTTCTTCAAAAAGCTTGGAGGTTTCGCGGACGGTCGAGCTGAGCTTATTTATGAAATTTTAAGTAAATCGGTTGAATATTTTCGAATATTTTCACTTTAAAAATGTGCAGTTCCCGAGGCCTGATATATCCCAAAAGTTGATCAATCCGTGCCATGGTCAAAATAAACTTACATATAAAATTTCATCAAAATCGGTTCAGCCGAGCTTGAGATACACGCGTGCACACACAGACCGACAGACCGACAGAGCGACAGTTGCTAAATATAGTTTATTCACACTTCCCTACTATGGAGAAGTGCAATCCCACCGAAAACTAGATATGCAAAATTTGTTGCCATCGCATAACCAACCTATTGTTTACACAATACAGTAGGTAATAATGGTTAGATGGTAAATTTTCAAAAAGTTTATGTATAAAAACATAGATATTACGTTAATAGACTTGAATAGTTGTTTTTTTTACAACTATATTTAATTTACATAAATGCTTTCTGCCGTAAAAAATATATAAAATAGAAATTCCTTAACAAATTTTACTGGAGTAAATTATACAAAATGAGGTTCGATTATTCTAAGACCACCGGAAATTTCTAAAACAAAAGAAAATCGTGTTGAAATAAAAACAATTAGATGGCGTAATTTAACAAACTTTTGGGTAAGTATGCATTATTAGTTAGATTTTTAATTTTAAATTAACCTTCGCTACTCACAATAATTTCGCTAGTGGCACAATGCTTTTATCTGCGTCCATACAGACGTATGGACGCAGACATATCTGTAAAGTAGTTTATTTACGCTTCCCTACTATGTAGAGTGCGTTCCCACCGAGAAGTCGATATCCAAAATTTGGTGTCATTACATAATAGGTATATCTCCCAAATAATTCATAATATATCTCCCAAATAATTCATAATAATTTGGGAGATATACCCATTTTACATAAAAGCCAAAATATTGGTATGAATATGTAGAATGGTATTTAATATAATACATTATTATATAACACACTACAATAATATTTAATGTAGTAATATTTAAATACTAGATTGAAATAACTGATTAAAAACAAGAAAGAAAACTATGGACATTTTTAAGCGTAAAATAAAATATTAAGGCCTAAATTTTCGTTTTTCGAGCGATCAATAGGTATTCCGCTCTATTTCACTGTATAACTGCCACTTTTAAATTTTTTTAGAATTGTTTCCATTTTAAATATCATAGTTCTAGATAACAAATACTAAAAAAGTTTCTGTGTCTTCGAGAACACTCGACATGAAAATAACTTTTCTCTAACGTTCTGAGATTTGAAAATTGGACTGATGTTGAGATACGATTCCAACTTTTAATTTTAAGAAAGAATTTTTTAAAGAATTTTAAAAGTTCTGAAGAACTTACTGAACACAAAAGAAATATTGGATATATTATAAGGAAAAAATAAAGAAAATACAATGGGAAACTCAAAAATTTTATTAAATTGTACGACAAAGACCATTTCTGTTTAAAAGTCTCATTATTATTTTATTTAATTGTATTTTTCCTGTTTTGTGAAAAATTACTGACCCCTTTTTTTTGAAAGAATTAACTTGGAAATAATTAAACATGCCATATTTCTAACACTACTACATTGTTTTTATCATCACCTTCCAAATTTCTTGTGTTTTTCAAATTTATTAAAAATTAAATTAAAACTTTAGACATTATAAATTAAAAATTTTATAAAAAAAAACTGATTGTCTGTACGTTCTCAAAGGTTAGAAAAAAAAGGATAAAAACAAAAAATGATGAAAAAAAACTTTTCAATTTTTTTTCTGTAGCTGAATTTTTTTTCCTCAGCTTGAATACCTAAGAGTATCTACATATAGGAAATATTCAAAAGTATATACAATATTACTTAATTAAAACAAAAAGGTTTTACCTGAATGGTGGAGTTCAGTTTGATTGATACAATAACATTTTGAAAGATTTTTGCTGGAAAAATTGTGTGTGTTTCTTAAACTAGTATTTGATAAATCTTCACAGATTGTCCATAGAGTATCTGATAAATGTTAAGTATTCTTTGCCCCAAATTTGTTAATTTGGACAGCAAAATGAAAATATTGAAGTTATGAGAACAGAATTTTCTCTTGATCTACATTGTAATGATCAATTCAAAAAAGCTTTAAAAACAAATTAGGTATAATGCAGGACCTTAATGTATTTAGGTACAGGACGTAAATTTTTTAATTTTAACTCCTTTCCAACATTATTCCCATATTCACATTTCAATAAACGTTAGTCGTTCTCTCTTCTGATTGTTTTCTTTATCATTGTTAAAAGTTTAACCTTTCACCCATAATGGGATTGTTCTCGGATTTTACTCTTTCGATAATTATTTTTCAAGGACATTTTGTGAGTAATATTTTTTAGGTATTTCTAAATATCATATTGTAAAATATTTTTAAAAAAAAATATATTGTATTTCCAACAATAAAACCCTAATACAAAAAATTTCATATTGAAATGACACTTCATGGCAAAAAGTATTAATTTTTTTTTTGTTTTTATATGTGTTATACAATTTAGTGAAGCATGAGCTGTATATACCCTACATGTATATACGTACAATACATATTCATGGTCAAAATATAGAAATAGTGATGAATGCATGTGATAAAATCAAATCTGTGTTGATTGAGGCTTGTGTACCTATCTGTTTGTTCGTTCGACCGTTCGCATAACAATTCGAACAAACACAACTTAAATTTAAACTCAGGAGCATTGGTAATGTAACTGGACGAATTCACTTGATCAGTTAAAGTACAGAGTTAGTTTTAAATATTTGGAAATTTAATAAAGTTAGCATTTATGTATCGAATTCATATGTCCAAAGAGATAATTTTAAATATTTCTAAAGCTAGCAGAATGTCATGAAATTTGGCAAGAAAATTCTGAATTATAATTGAACAGTGTAATTCGGTTGGCTAACGTCGAATGACACATTTTTACTTGTTTTTATATTATTTGGATAAAATTAATTTTTTCAAAATCCTTGAAAGTTAAAAATGAATGATAATACAAAGGGAGAAAATCTGAAAAAGAAGGCAGGACAAAATATAGAAGGAGAAGACAGTTTTTTTTTAATTTTTAATTTTTTTTGTTTTTTTTTTGTTTTTTAATTCACTCATACAAATACAATAATTATTATTATCGGTACCAAGTATTTATAGAGTTTCATATCAATCTTCAAGATTTGAGGGAATTCATTGAAAAGTGCGTATTTTGAATAGATTTAAATTTTTTAAGATTATAAATTACAAAAGATATTAAACTATAATTTTCAAAAGAATTTAAATTATGTTAATTGAATTTCGAGTATAAGTGCCCCAAATTATTTTGAAAGTAAAATAGTAGTAACCTTTGGAAAAGCTCAGATTTATGAGTTCTTAGTGGAGTACAAAAGTTAAGTTTAAAACTTTACGAGTTTATGTTTTAGTGAATGCCTTTTAAATTAATATAGCTTTATTACATAACTTATTATATAATTTATTTTTTTTGCCACAAGAATTAAAAACATGCTAAATGATACAGCAGCAAATTTTAACAAATTTTTCATTAATTTTCGTCTTAAATTGCCTTTCAAATAATTTAGAAGAGTAGTTTAACAAAATTAATTATTAGAAAACGCATATATTGCATAATGCAGTTTTAATTTAAGCAAAAATATTTGTTTGGTTATGCCTTTTTCAATATAACAATAACGGAATTTCTTAAAAATAGTTCTAATAATTTTGCGTTAAAATAAATTTACATTTTCTTTTCATTCGAATTGATTAGAAAAAATAATAGCAAATTCAAAATATAACACCAAATTGTTTTCATAATATTAATATTATTATAAAATAAAATTTTATAGCTTCTTTCATATAAAACAAATTTTTATAGCTATTTTCATACGGAAACTTCTTTAGTATATTTAGTTCGATCATTTAAATCTAGCACTAATTTGTCATTTTTAGTTTTACGTTTTTTAACACTACTGTTATTGCTACTAGCTATGCAATCACCACTACTACCTCCACAACCCCCAGCACCATTATCGGCACAATCACCGGCAAGATCTTTACTATGTATACTTATACTTGTACTACTTGCTGTTATAATATTTTCTTCATTACCACTGCAACTTCCTGTTATACTTTTACCACTTTCATCACATAAATTTATGTTATGAACACTATCATTATCATCAAAACTTGGTGTTACAATGCTCCCAGTTTGTGGTGGTGATTTACTAATATGTAATAATATTGGACTGTCAGAATCCATTATATTTGCTTTAATTTCATCATTTCCTGATATTTTAACATTATAATGTGCACTAGCTAATATACTACCTTCACTTATTCCACCATCGGCAGTACAATCATCACCATAACAGCTGCTATCATCTGTTGAATGAAATGATATATCATCATCATGGTGAATTAATGTTTTACTTAATTTTCTTTTAGCATATTGTATAGGTATTGATTGTTGTGTTGTGTTATCACCACTATCTACTATATTTAATTCGATGTCACATTTTTTACTATTTATTAGATTACTACTATTATCACTATTACCGTTATTTTTACTACCATTACTATTATTATTACTATTATTATTATTAATATTATTACAACATCTTGAATCTTTAACTTTTGATTTTATTTTATTACTAGTAGTACTTAGGTTTCTATTATCAGGATCTTCATTTAGCAAACTAATGATACGATTAAACTCACTACATTCATTGTTATTACACATAATTTTTTCATTATTTACAATTATCAATTTTTTTTTACAATTATCACATATTAAAAAAGTTTCAATTAATTTATTTTGATTATCACATTTTGAGTTGGCTTTAATGTTATTACCTAATTTTAATGAATGTGCTTCCAATTTTTGTGCAACGTTGGTTAAACTAATCGAAATTTCATCAATTGTTTTCGATGTTTTTAAATTACTAGAATTTATTGTTGATGATTTTGGAACAGTTTGCTGATAGAGATTACTATTTTTTTGATGTTGATGATTGTTTGATGACAACTGCGACTGTTGATTACTTATTGAATGCAATTGCGGTAATTGCATTAAACTATTTGAATTTTGTTTATAAATGCTTGATGTGCTAATAATGGGTGACTTTAATTCTTTTTGTAATTTTAGTGATGATGATGTACGAACAGTTAATACTGATGAAACTGCTGGTTCAGTTACTTTAGCGGTGGGCGGTTGTGGAGAATTAAAATTATACAATTGATTATTTTGTTCAATTTTTGTGGTGATATTTCTAATAGGTGATTGTTTTGTTGATATTGAAATAGCTTGGCGTTCATTGAAATCATCCACAGATTCTGAACACATACATTCTAATTTTAAATTAGAAAAACTTAATATATTTTTATTACTTGGTGAGTCGATTTGATTACACGAAGATACTTTTGAAATTGTTTTAGCGCAATTTGAACAAATTGGTTCGGAATCCGTTTTCTCACTATTTATTTTATTTAAAAACTCATCACCTGTTAATGATGTATTGATTGATTTTTCTACAGCAATTGTTTTTGTTGTTTTCTCAATAATAGTTACTTGTTTCTGAGTGTTTCCTACTGTAGCTGCAGCTGGTGTGCTATTATTATTTTGCGCAAATTTCTGTATATCATTAACGGCAAATATTGATAAAGAACCGATATTGTTATTAGTTGCATTCGTACCAGTATTGGATGCAGTAGTCGACTTAGTAACTAAATTTAATTGTTGACTTGTTGTGCGTAGACTATCTAAAAGGCTTGATATTGTCATAACAGCAATTCCTTTTGGTGGTGCTGATTCTTGTATGCGCTGTAATTGGTAACTTAATTGTCGAATTTCTTCAAGAGCTTCTTGGTCAGACAGTTTCGTATCTAAATGCAAATTATACAAAAAAATACATTATGATCAAGTTTTAATGGTAAAAGTAAGGTTGAACTAAGTGTTATTTAATGGTACTAAAGGTAGAAGTGAACAGAATATTTTGTACAATGCTTTATAAAAACTTTTTACAATAGCGATGTTGGAAATATTAAAAACAAATATATTTATCTAAACCAACCTCTAAATTAAATCAAAAGTTAATTGTTGTTAAAGAAGAAGAAGCGTAAAATTTATTTTAGTTATGACGTACATAGTACATTTTATAATATACAAACAGATTGATGAAAAAAAACAATAGTGACATAATTAATGAGAACAGCAGAGCTTCGTTCTCCAAATAAGATACAACTCTGAATAAGCTACTTTTTCACCCATACTCTGTTTGTCGCATCATTTGGGGTGATGGGATATTATTGAAAAAAAGTTTGATTTTTTAATGTAAAATTTCGAATTTCGGAATTGATTTTATTCAGAAAATTGCAAGATTTTTAAATAATAACCCATCACGTCAAGTGATGCGACTAACAGAATATGGGTATTTTTTTTTCTTACCTTGGCCTCATACATCTTCATTGAAAAAAAAGAAATTTAATCAAAAAACTGCTATAATTGAATATTTTCGTAGCAGATATTTACAAATTTTCCTAAAGTTTACTTTTATTATACCATTACTAATATGTTAATATAAATACTTTTGAGGTTCAATTGGCATGAAATACAATATTTATACTCTGACGGAGATGTTAAAGCACTCCAAACAGATTTTTCCCTTAGACCAATATATAACGTTGAAAGGACAATACTGTTCCACTCATGGTAAAAACAGAAGAGCTATTATTTTGTAAATGAGTTCTTCTACACTCCATTAATTAAAACACTTCATTAATAAGATGTTTCGAAAGTATTTTTGAAATGAAACTCGAAGTGGTGCGCATAATTTCAAAAAATAATTATGGCAGAAACTATAATATGTATAAGTAAATATGTATATAGTTTTCGGTTATGTTCTGAAAAAATTTTTGTTTTTTTTTATTGTATTATTACTTATGAGCAATAAAAAAAGTAAAAATATACTAAAAGAAATTTAATTAATTTAATTGAAAATAAAAATTAAATTTATTTGCTATTTTAAATTTCTTGAAGATGTTATACAATTATTCTCAATAATTACTTGTAAAATTACTGAAATTTTAAATAGTATACAGCAAACTTTGAATTCACTAACGTGCGAGTCACTGAAGAGATTTTTTCAAAATTAAAATTTATAATTTTGGTAATTTTTTGATCATACAAAATCTGATGAGATCAGCACATAACCGTATGCAAGGACTATTGGCTAGTTTAGCAAAATCGTTATATTATTGTGAAAATGCCTTTTAAACACATCTTTTAAGAAAGTCAGGAAACTTTTCGTTAGTATACTTAGAAGGGGGAAAATTTGGCTTTTACAAGAGTTTCACTTTCAATCATTGAAAAGTTCATCAGTTAGTTTTTGCAACCAGGGCTGAAATGTTAAGAATTAATTTTAAGAAATTCCACAAATTAGTTTTCTAGATATTGAGCCTTGATTTTCCCAAATAATTTGTAAATTCTTTGTTTTAACATCTCTAATTCGAATATTAAATTTCAGAGAAATTGGTTGATTATTTCTCTTATATGCGTGAAAATATAAAATCAGCCCTCGAAAAAGGTTTAATGTTAACTAAAAGCTTATTAGCGTTTGAAAGGCATTTACATAATCTTCTGTAACATTTTTGCTAAACTAGATAACATACGTGTTAACCACATTAATTTTTTTTGTTTTTATTTTAAACATTGAAAACTGTGATAAATTTCCCTTATTGAAAAAGTGTAATGATAAATAAATCTTAATAATTTTTTATTATTAAAATCTGGATTATTTTTAGTAGAACAGCATGTTTTTTAAACAAAAGAAATTATTTTCATAGAAATGCAAAATTTTTATGTAAATTTTTTATTTTTTTTATGTGTATAGAAAAAATATATTTACCAGCTGTATGCATTTGTGCTGTTGATGTTGAAGTGCTAGGATTTGCAAATGTACGTATTTGAGGTCTAAAGTTAAACTTTGCTCCAGATTGTTTGCCACCCATTGCAATAGCCTCTTGTGATTTACCACTCCGTAAGACAATGTAAACCTAACAAGATTATTATTCAATTAATTTTAACAAGCAATTAAAATTATTTTATGTAAATTAAGTAAAAGTATATAAACACACAATTATTTATCAATAGGAATTAAGCATGTGGTGACGGATTCTATGGTAATACTTATACCGTTACAATAAATGAATAAATTTTGTTCTTAATAGTTGCTGTAAAGATGTTTTATAGCTCTGTGTAAAAATTGCTATAGGAATATATTCGCATTTTTCATATGAAGGGAAATAATGATTCAAACTAATTTACCACTAATATACTTTTATATGCAACAGTAAATACATTCTTTTTCTATATGAAAATGTATAATAATGATATAAAATCTTTAACTTGAAATAGTCTAAGTACGAAAGCAAAATTTTATTAAAACAGCTGTTTACATAGAATTAAATTGTGTTGATAATTTTATGAATAAATGCAAAAACCTTGGAATATAAAATCCTACTGAAAGAAGTCTTAACAAGAGGGCAAGACAGAGAATAAAATTTGAATATTAATAGTTTATTCTTTTAATAAATACAATTTTTAGCACTTTTCCAAAAAAAATTTGAAAAATGTGCTACATTACAAACCATTGGTTGACCCAACTTCATTTAATTTTAAATATAAAACGAGAAAAAAAATAGAGTTGACCTTGTCAACTCTGTGATACCCGTACGAATTTGTTATCCTATGTGCCAATAACTAATGTGCCATAACTAACTATAGGGCAGACTATGACTTTAAGTTGCCGTATTACCATATTAATTTATGCAAAATTTCAGTACTATGTGTTTTTCAAAATACTGGTTGTGCCAAACTACTATTGAAGTTGTATGGCAGCTACCAGAAAGAGCCAAGAAATTTCAGCGAATTTTATCAAGCACATCGGCCCTACTAATACTTATATTCACTTGTGTGAAATCTCAATATCACAGCTTTTATAGTTTCTGAGATATAGCCAAATAACTTTTGAAGTTGTATGGCAGGTACCAGAAGGAGCCAAGTAATTTCAACGACTTTTATGAGACACATTGGCCCTACTAATATATTCGCTTGTGTGAAATTTCAATACCATAGCTTTAATAGTTTCTGAAATTTAGTCAAATAACTTTTGAAGTTATATGGCAGGTACCAGAAGGAGCCAAGGAATTTTAACGAATTTTATTAAGCACATCGGCCCTACTAATATATTCACTTGTGTGAAATTTCAATACAACAACTTTTACAGTTTCTGAGATATAGCCAAATAAATTTTGAAGTTGTATGGCAGCTACCCGAACCGGTACCCCGATCATGTCCAATTTAAATAGGGTTCTGGCACTTACTACAGTAAATCATTTGTGAAAATTTGGTGAACTTAGCTCTATTAGTTTTTGAGTTATCGTTGGGACGGACGGACGGACGGACGGACGGACGGACAGACAAAGCTAAATCAACTCAGAATTTGACGCTGATCAAAAACATACACTTGAGTCTATATCTAACACCGTTATTTCTTAGCGTTACAAACGGTAAGGCAAATTTAGTATACCCTTCGAACATACGTTCGTACGGGTATAAACAACGTTAAGTTGTTGAACTCTCTCCAATATGCTCCCCTGTTTTTGAAAAAAGCACACTTGTTACAATTAAGTAATATTATTTGTGCAAAATATAAAGACAAAAAGCTTTTGAATTAATTTTGCACTTTATAAATTGAATTTGAACGAAAATTGGAAGTCAGCTTTCAGTATCAGTGACTTGTACGGTAACAATAAGGTACAGTATGGAAAAACGAATTCATACCACATTACCGTCTTATTTTATACTCTAAACATTTGTAAAGGGTATATTATGTATTTATTTTGGTTCATAACCTTTTGAACAATAGCATGCAGTGATGCTTTGATTTACGCTGTTCGTCTGTTCATCAGTTCGCTTGAACTCAAAAACGAAAAGAGCAAACATTACTCAACTTTCAAAAATTGTTTCTTTTCTGCCACGCATTTTTTTCAAATTGAATCAAGTCCAACGACCTTAAAATCTCATTTTAAATATTTGAAAAAATAATCAAGCTAGCCACATGAAATTTTGAAGTCAATTATGACAAAGGTACATGCTAGAAGTTTTATTAGAATGGCTACATACGTTCAGATGGCTGTATTGCAATATTAATTGTATATTTCAAAACCTAATGTATGTATGTAAAGCATGAAAATTAGTAGGAGGTGCCGAGTTATGTGTAGCTTATACACGCCTCAAATATTGCAGCTATGAAAAATGCTACATCTATTGTGAAAAAACTTGGTAGGCTTATGAAATTTACTATTATTGACCATCTATTTATATTTGGTGAATTCATATCCATTAGTTTTGAAACATTGTTAAAATATATACCTAAAATTATAATTAATACATTGTGTATTACGAACAATTTTCTACGTTACCAAACAACTGTGAAATATATAATATTCTACGGTATAAGAATGAAATGTTTTCTTTGTAAAAAATAATTTGTAGAATTACTAGAATGCTTCTAAATAAAACTTAAAAGAAAAAGTATTTTTTTTTAATTAATAATTTATATTTTACAGTTTCAGAAGAGTGGGATTAAAAAAGTTTTCTCGAGTAGAAACCGTTTAAAATTAAATTATTTTTTATATATAAACATATAAATTAAAAGTTGTTTATTGTTGAAATAATCATTAATTATTCTCTTTCATATGTGCTATATTGATATATTTATAGAGGGGTGTTTCATAATCGATAATCAGTAAAAAATTTTATTGGCAATAGTTTTTTCCTGCATTTAAATAAAGTCTTAACTTCAGAACCATGAGACAGAAATAATTTTAAAAAAAAATTCACAAATTTTTTTCCAAAAATCCAAGGAAGTGAATATATCGTAAATTCAAAATAAGTTCCTAAAAATAAACCTTCGCGATTATTAAATTTCACCCCAACTTAGGGCTTTTTCGATAATTCAGTTCTGTACTGAAAGATGTAACTTAGGTTTGTAAAAACTTTTTACGCATACTTACAAACTTCTACAATCTGAATGACATATCTTTGCATGTCTGAAATGTCTAAATTTTTTTTTAACAAGCTTTTATTTTGTTGTTTGCAAATTGTCAATTTTATAAAAATAAAAAAAGAAAGATGTCTGAAGAACAAAAAAAATTTCTAAGCAAATATGTTACAGATCAGATAATTGATCTACTTAATGAAAAAATTGAAAAAAGTAATATACGTTTTTATCTGGAAAATAAAAGAAGACGATAGCATTTGTTACTAACATACATTAAAAAAAACGAAAAGAACCTTGTACCTAAGGTACCCAATTACTTAGAAACAATCAATTTGATGCCGGATACCATATTTTTTGAACATTTCAGGATGGAGCGCGATTGTTTTGTAGTAGTTTGTTTCATCATCAAGTCTGGCTTGTATCAACATTTTTATTTTACATTTATCCCAAAATTTTTAATTTTCTAGCTCTCTATGAAAGAAAAACATAAATTATTAAATGTACAAAACAAAAATTGCATAAATTTACCCCATTAATTCTTCAATATCCGACATTTTTCTATTTTATTAATTTTCACTTTTATTGCAGTATTAAAAAAAAATCTTTAAAATTGCCTAAGAACTTAAAGCTCAATCGTATTTTCGAACGAGCTTTTTTTGCACGAGAACATTATCGAACATTCTACTTTTACAGATTTTGCAGATTCGATTTATCGAACGTGCTTTACATTCAGAACTAAGTTAGAACTGAATTATCGAAAAAGCCCTTATTCAACTTTTTAGCACTTTTCCAAAAATTTTTTGAAAAAAAGTGCTTATTAGTTTCACTCTGTCCGTCCGTCCGTCCGTCCGTCCGTCCGTCCGTCCGTCCGTCCGTCCGTCCGTCCGTCCGTCCGTCCGTCCGTCCGTCCGTCCGTCCGTCCGTCCGTCCGTCCGTCTGTCCGTCTGTCCGTGTGTCTGTTTACAAAACTTCTACACCCTTGAAGATAGAAAGCTGAAATTTTGTACGTACATAGACCTTTACTAGAAACTTATTTCTGTAGAACAAAATTTTTACCTATCTCCCCCCCTCTAGAAGTTATATCCCCCCAAAACCCTAAAAATGACCTTTTTTAACTACTTGTTGCAGTGAAACCATAAGCATTTTTGAAATTTTGCAAACACAGAAAGGCAGCGGCTGCTTCCCCTACCGCAGTATACTATAGTTAAACTTTAGAAAAACAAAATGGCCGTTCAAATTTACCGTTATCTAAAGTCCTTTTTTTCCAAATTTTTGATGTCGTTTTTCTTCCAAACCCCAGCCCGTAGAAGCTTGAAATTTTAGGAGCTTTTAGATATTAGCAAATAGTTTATTTCGTTAGAAGAAAATTTTTTTCCATCTCCACCCCCTCTCAAGTTATCGCCTCTTGAAATTTGTAAAATTTGAATTTTTGACACCTTATATTTCCGAAACCGCAAGCTTTTCCAAATTTTTATAAACGCAAAAAGCTAACGGTAAATTCCATGAAATTAAAAAATATAATTATTTTTCTTAACTCACACAATTAAACCTTAAAATCGAGCATTATGTTAACCCCTTTTTATATTAATTTTCGCTTTATTTCAAAGACTGCATATATTCGTCATCCTAAATATATGCAATCCTAGAAATAGTTTTGTATATGAATGAAAATAATTTTAATAGTGTGGTAGGTACACATAGATTGTATTTAAAAGCAGAATTTTCACTTGTTGAAGGGAAAAGTGCTACAATACAAACCATTGGTTTGACCCAACTTTATTTTTTTTTAATTTCATGTTTGTTATAAATAATTATAAAAAACTTCAGCATTTGTTAGCTGGAATTATTTAAGATTCCACTATGTACAAAAATTTACATAAATATGGTTTACTTACTTTACTTCCAAATATTAAACCCAGCAACAGTGTTACTGTTAATTGAGTATGACAGAAAAATATTATGAATAATAAATCTGGATTCGCTGGCGATTGCAAAAATAACCTGAAATTTATAATAAAAAAAAAGTAAAATTCATTTATTTTTAATTACCAAGAAAATTAACTTTTTATTACAAAATTTATAAGGTGTAAAGAGATTCACTGAGATTGTATGTATTTAATTTTTTTATTATTATTAAAATTTTTTTTCCGTCTTTTTATTTGTTATTCTTGATGGTTAAAAAATAAGAATAATAAAAATTAATTTTAAGAAATTTTTAATTTTTTTTATAACATAAACTCTATGAAATTTATTATTAACCAGGTTTTTTGAAGAGATTTTTATAGAAAAGCAGATATTTTAGAATTTAAAATAGCTATTTAAGATATTAAAATTTTTATAAAATTTTCAAAAACAAATTTGTTTTTAATTTTTAACGGAAGTTTAAGGTTTTTAGTTTATTTATTCAGATTTATCAAAATAGATTTCTTTTGCAATTTCTAGTTTAATGAGCTTTTAACACACTTCTCTAGTAAGCTTCTATTTTTAAAGTAGAAATTCGTACAACAAAATTTTTCAAATTCATACAAACTCTTTTTGACTTATACCCAACAGAATAAGCAAAAAATGTGCTTATAAGTTCATTCGTTCTACCGTGGGTGTATTTATTTACAAAATTTATATTTACATATATACTTTGAAGATATATAGCGAACCAAAATTTTGTACACAAATTTATCTTGCTGAAAAACAAATTTTTGTAGAAAACGAGAAAAAATATAGTTGACCGTATCGTACGAATTTGTTATCCTATGTGGGAATAAATATGCTTAGTTGACTATGGGACAGTCTATGACTTTAATTTGCCATATTACCATATTAATTTATGCAAAATTTCAGTACTATGTTTTTAATATTTTTTATGAAAAACGAGTCAGGAAATTCGAATAATTTTTATCACACATCACAGCCCTAAAAATACACTTGTTTTCACAAGATTTCTATGTTATAATTTCAATAACTTCTGAGATAATGCCAAATAATTTTTGGAGTTGTATGGCTGCTTCCAAAAAGAGTCAAGCAACTTCAACGACTTTTATAAAACACATTGGCCTTACAAATGTATTTATTTGTACGAATTTTAATTTTAATAACTTCAGATGCCAAATGGTGTCTACATTTGGAAAATATTTTTTTCAAATTTTTAAATTGCACCCAATCTGAGAAAAATGCATTTAAATTTTTTTTGTTTTTTTGTAATACAAAATTCTAGTTTTTCTTTTCAAAAATTTCAAATTTTTTAAAATCAATTTTTGTTTTTCAAACTAAAAGTTTGTATAAAATTTCGTTTCAATTTTGTTATTATTTGTTACATTTCAATAAAAACATTAAAATTCAGATTTTTTATCAAAATAACGACTCTTAAAAATGTCAACTGTTTTTTCGAGTGACTTTTGTCATAAAAAATTAATGACACTTGGTAATTATAGCGTTTAAAATGAATAAAAATCAAAAATAATGGAAAATTGGACCATAAAATCTTGACATAGAAATGGTTTTTGTGCTAAAGTATCGAATGTTAAGTAAAAATATAAAAAATTAAGTTTATTTGCATGAATACAAAAATGCAAAATTGTTGACTGGTGCAATTATTGACATGGCTTAATAGTGTAATTATTGGCACCCAAATAAAACTATTGGCTTGGTAGAAATGTACAATTATTGTCATATCTTTATGAGAAAATAAAAATAATAATTTTTGAAAATTAATTTTATACATTTTATACACCAGAGACAAGTAGATAGCAGAAGGTATGCAGTTTTAATTTTATCTGTTACATTTGGCATGATCTTTTTACATATGTAAGATTTAATTCAAGGTTACCTCAAATCTCAATGTAGAAAAAGAAAAAATGTACTTTAAATGCTGACCAAATCACTGACCAAACTGTCAATGATTGTATTTTCAGACTTTCAGTGTTAATAATTGTACTTTCAGACATTATAACTATTGACACTCCGTGTTAATATTTCAAATTTATCGACAATTTGATCAGTTATTAACACCCCTATTTTATAATCATTAAAAAATATTTTGTTTTAATTTTTATTGTTTAGGCATAAAATTAAGCATTATTCAAAAGTTACTAAATTCACATATTAAAGTTCATAATGATTAGAATCCATCATTATTTTTGGTTTTTTAATATTCCAAAAGCGCTATACCAATTGGGGTAATAATAATTATGTGGAATTTTCAGAGTGTCTATAGTTGTACGCGTTTCGCTAAATTTAGTAAAAGACTGTTTTTTAAGTGTTTTCACAGTTCAATGTCCTATTTAACTATTCATTTGTTCGATTCAAATTGTTTTCCTTGTAAGATTAAAATTTAATATTTAACCACCAAAATTGTTTTGCTTATGCCATCTTATATTAACGAACTATGTATATACAACAATAAAATGTAAGAACTTTTCATTTTCGAAAAAGTCTGATTTACCACTTTTTATAAGATTTGAATTTCAAAATTTATATTTTAATATCCACTAAACTTTACTTTAATAATTTAAAATGAATTTATTATTAAATTTCTCAAGACAAAATTTAACTCCAATTTTGTATACATTAACATTTGTTTAATTAAAGGTTCGTCTGAGTCCTCTAAATCTTTGACAGTAAATAGTTTAAAGCTTTTGATGTTTGAGTATATTATGTACACATACTTATTGCATATTGTAGCTGGTAAAGTTTATTCGTCTGAAAATTCCAAATTTTTTACCATAATACAAATAATTTATAAAAGAAAGCAGTTTTGGGTTTTTAAAGCGAAAACAGTTTTGCTTACTTATACTTTGTGACGTCATATTATGTTAGAATATAGAAAAAAAATACAGTTACAATATAGAAAAAAAATCTGGTGTGGTCAGCACATAAACGACCGCAATGTGTATTGTTTACTTAAGTGAAAGTGTTATTCCGTAACATAAAACAAAAATGCCTGTTAAATACTTCTTTCCAATTTTTAGGGCGTTACTAAGCTTTTAGTTAACACATTTAGCAAAATGTAAATTTGGCTCTTAGTAGAGTTTCGCTTTGGGCAACCCGAATTCCCTGAAGTGCTCGCCAGTTAGTTGCGGTAACAACAAGAACTGAAATATCAAATTTCAAGAAATCCGTTCCGTAGCTATGGTGAAAAATGTAAAATCGGCCCTCAGATCAGTTTCCGAACCCTGATCTTTCCAAAAAATGTATATGTTCATTGTTCTAATATCTTGAATTTAAATATTAAATTTCAATGAAATCCGTTCATTATTTCTCTTTATATGCTCAAAAATGTATATTAGACTCGTAGAAAAAGTCCAGTTGCTGACACCAAAATTTCTTCCAAAAGTTAGGAGGTTTCGCGAAAGGTCGAATGAAGCTTATACATATATGAGATTTCAAGTAAATCTGTTGAATACTTTCTTTAGAATGATCAAAAATGTAAAACAGGCCCGTTAAAAAGTGCAGTGCCCGAGCTCTAATATATCTCGAAAGTTAATTAATTCGCGCCATAGTTGAAATAAACTTACATATAAAATTTCATGAAGATCGGTTCAGCCGAACATTGGAGAAGTACATTCCCAGCGAAAACTCGACATCCAAAATTTGGTGCCTTTGCATCATCTACCTTATTGTATACCATGCGGTCGGTAATGACATATTACAAATTTTTTAGTTTATACTATAATGTAAAACAGTTTTTTTTAAAACGGTTCCCTAAGTTAAGTATTTCAAAGACGGTGTCGAATGTTTTTCAAAAGCTATTTGACACTTACCAAAGAGTTCAATACTAACATTTTCCAGAATGTTTCTATTATTAAATTTGAGTATAGTCGATTTGTCGATATACTGCAATTTGTATGGTATGTGTAAATTATTTTTGAATTCATATTGCAGATATCAAAGTAAAATATAAATGAAAGAATTTATACAATCGCAAACAAATTTCACTAATTTGTTGATTCACTCACTAAAGTAAAATTTGAATACAACACTCTTTTTATTTCCGAAACTTTTTTTTTATTCCACTTGAGATCATCACGGCCTTTCACTTGATTTTCTGAAGTACAGTGGAAGTTTATAAATTATTCTTAAGTTAGAACAGGCTCAGTTCTGATTTGTTCTGTGCCCCACATGGTGTTAAAAAAGTTTCTCCCCCCTCCCCCCTTTCATGGGTGTTATATTATTTCGTGCATTTATATTAACAATTTATTTTATGATATGGACATATGGTGTATTGACCTATATAACATTAAGACAAATTTTTATAATGACCTGATCAGGGTATGAACGCCAGATGATCAGGCTATTTCTGAGATATGGCGTAATTATTTATGAACTTGTGTGGCAACTATTGCATAAACTTCTACAACCAAAGCAAATTAAATATTGCTCTAAACACTGCTGATTTATGCGAAATTTTAATACTTTTACCTTTATAGTTCCCAAAACATAACCAAGTTATATTCAAAGTTGTTGTATGGCAGCTATTCGAACATTTGCTTTGGTTCAATCCAAATTAAATAAAGTTCTTGCGGTAGCATCTCAGACGTTATTTTTAGTGTTACAAACGGAAACGCAAATTTATATTACATTCATTCTTACGGGTTTAAAAAAAAATTATTTAATATATGTAGATCATTTTCTAAACTGTTAGTCGATTCGACTAACATTAGAAAAGACGTGTAAAAAGCGAGCATTTTAGGTTTGATCAAGTATAGAGTATGAATAGAGCAATTAATTTCATTTTTGAATTGATTATGAAAACAATAGAAATGCATTAAAAAACTATTTCATAACTTATTTAAATAAAATGAATTTCTATAAAGTAATGCGAAAATTTATTAAACATTCATTGTAATTATTAATTTCCAAATAACAAAAATTTACTTACATGGATACGTTTAAAAAGCACGTTAACAAAAATTCATTATAAATTGCCATAGAAATGAAACGGCTTTCGTTGAATTCTGATGGAGCTTTCCTTACCATAATACAAAGTCGTACACCCCATGCCAAAAACAATACTTCCACTGTTGATAACGAAAAGCAAAAACATTTATTCAATAAGGATTTTATAAAAGTAGTCCTTAATAATAATTTTTTGTTTTTTATTCATTTTTAATAACAAAGAAAAATTTCACAAAAAGTTAATAATAAACATTAACTTGGAACGTACAAAAAAAATCAGAGCTGTTTGCAAAATAACTTTTTTTCTAACCCATTCGCTGCTAAGGACGAGTATACTCGTATTTGGCAGGGTGTCACACATTGTCAAGACAAGTATACTCGTCCTACTTTAAATATATTATAATTTGCAGGTTTTTGAATTAGCCAATTTTTTTTTGCTCAGCTCGAAGTGTAATAAAAATACGCGGTATTACATTATCCCGTTATTTGCTGAGACACTGTAATCGACAATAGTTAATTTCTAAGTGTTTCCACTTTACAGAATGTTATTTTATTCATCTGTTTGATTTATTATTTGTTTTTCTACTAAAAGGTACGCAAATACGAAAAAGAATATCGAGTCCTTTTGCCTTCCCATTACCGAAGACGAGTTTACTCGTCCTTGGTTTTCTGCTTCTAAATGATTTAGTATGATAATATAAATGGCAATGGGAATGACTTCATATAATTTAGGCTTGGCAGCGAATGGGTTAACCGAATATTAAGTAATTGTAATTACAATAAGTTTTATCCTTTTTATTCAAAGAGTTTTATTAAAATTATGTATGTATATACATACATGATTATGTATGTACGTACATATATAAATTTGTGCGCAAAATTTTTTCGCATAAAAGAAATCATTATTACAAAAGATTTTGCTTCAATAATCAAATGTTATTAAAAAGGTCATTAAAATACTACTAAAAGTGCGTAACATCCTACTTTTAACCAATATTTGAGTATCAGTATATTTTATAATTTTAAGACCTAGCCTTGTTCTTTCCTTTCATCAAATGTTAAAAACAACGTGTATTTTGGAACAATTTTTTAAAAAAATTCTGTCGAATAGCAACTGTCGCCACATGTAAGATGTTATTGTTCTTCTTCTTGAAAAATTAAAAGATATAGGTCCGTAGTAAGAATTCAGTTGTTGAGACCTGTTTTTTTCTAAGAATCCCGTGACCTTTGAAAATTGGGTATATGAAATTTGGTTTGCAAATACAAATGTTGAAATTGTATAGTGTATCACAATTTTTTTATAATTATAAATTTCTCAATAACAGAAACTTATACTCATTTGAACATATTATAAATTTATAATTAACAGTTCACTGAATTTCGAGGAAAAACATTCAAATACGACTTTTAACATTATTTATATTAAAGCACGATTCGTACATATGAAATATTTAACAAAATGTTAAGAAAGTATTGTAAAGGGAATCTTTATAAGTGCATTTATTAATTTATTAATATTATTAAATATTTCCTTGAGTGCTTTAATTTAGTAAATTTAAACTTAAAAACAGACAGCGTTGCCGAATTATTTCTTTGCATCAAGTTTTTGGTATCTTTGTTGTTTTGAAGTAACCAGAAATTTTCTTTTTGAGAAATATTCTTTTATATGAAAATATTCATTTTGAGGCAGAAATTATATCTAGAAAGTTAATCGAAAATTGATTGATTTTGATGTAAGTAAACCTTCTTATACGTAGATAAATCTTCACTCAAGGACGATAATATGCTCTAAATAATGTAGTCATGGTAAATATTTCAATATTTCAAAATATATTCTAAAAAATGGCCTTAACGCATAAAGTTAAAACTAAAGTAAGTAATACTGGTCGTCCTGATATTTACCAATTCGGTACACTAATGAAATATTCCAGAATCTTGAGTAATTGAATCGTGTCACGATAATTTCCCGTCGTGGTATAATGTAGTTCATCTATACTTTACTTTCAGATTAAAAATTCAGAAAGTTTGAATAATGCTAAAATCAATTATTTTTTACATGTTATTGAAACAGTAATAGACTGTGGTCTATTATTATTTCAATCAAATATTAGACAAATAAAATTAGCTATAAAATAATTTTATTTTCATTAATAAAATTTTTTACATACTTGATGTAAACGTGTAATCCCACCAATCAGTTTTGCAAAGGAATGCTTTCAAATCGTCAGCTGTACGACCAACAACGACCTCTGGTGGTGATACTATTGTTCTTACTAATAAACATGCACCAATAACACCACATATAACTCCAAGTCTTTTTAATAATGCAGCATCTGTGATTTTAACAGCTTTCGCTGAACGTACCCGGAATATTACTGATATTCTATAAGGAAAAATTTACACAAAATAAAAAAAATGCACTATTATTGAAAATTTAGTCATTATTAATTAATTTAATAACAGAAAAAGTTACATGCATTATCTTGAAGAACCCATGGCGCATTCGAAACATTGAGAAACTTCCGCGAAACAGATAAAGTTTTTATGAGGCTTGATAGTTTTTTTTTTGAGTAGTATTATAATTTGTCTTTTTAGTGTGTTTTAAATTGTATGTTGTTTTTAGTTTGATATTTTTCAAAATATAACAAAACGATATTTCTGTCCGAAGTTGTGTTAGTAAAATTCATGGCAACGAAATTGAAACAAAATATTAAAACCAAAATTGTAACATACAAAGTATTGTAAGTAAAAACTACTTGAGTCGAGAAAACTATTGAAAAAATTGAAAAGAAAAAAAAATTAATCATTTGCATTTCGTAGAGAAAAAAATGTAATAGTTAATATTGAAAGCTTCCATAAAAATTCTGCAATTTGCAAAAAACAAATTTACAACACTCAATAAATTGAAAATAATTTGATGAATCCGCTTTAATGGACATACGACTTTTTTAATTGTTTTATTTCATGATCTTGTTCTTTTTATTTTTCATATTTTTTCTTTCTGAAAAACTTGTTAATACATTGTTCCACTTTGTAATACTTTTCAATTTCGTTTTCTTTGAAAAAAAAATTGCAATATTAAAGCCATGAAAAAATAATACCCGTTACTTAGTGATTCGGATCAATAAAATTCTGTGTCAAAGAGAAATTATTTTTGGTTGATTAAGCAAAACTGCCGTCCTTATAGAAACCTAAGGTTCGCGTGAAAAAAAAAAAAACATTTTCATTTGGTTCCACAAATTTTCATAAATTTTAGGGTAGATATTCATATTTAATTAAAAACAAGAAAAAATAGAGTTGACCTTGTCAATTCTGTGATACCCGTACGAATATGTTATGCTGTGTGCGGATAAATATGCCATAACTGACTATGGGACAGACTATGACTTTAAGTTGCCGTATTACCATATTAATTTATGCAAAATTTCAAAATACTAATATAAGTTGTGTTTTTCAAAATACTGTGTGTGCCATACTACTATTGAAGTTGTATGGCAGCTACCAGAAAGAGCCAAGAAATATTAACGAATTTTATCAAGCACATCGGCACTACTAATAAACTCGCTTGTGTGAAATATCAATATTACAGCTTCTATAGTTTCTGAGATATAGCCAAAAAGCTTTTGAAGTTGTATGACAGGTACCAGAAGGAGCCAAGTAATTTCAACGACTTTCATGAAACACATTGGCGCTACTAATATACTTACTTGTGTGAAATTTTAATATCACAGGTTTTATAGTTTCTGAGATATTATTAAATAAATTTTGAAGTTGTATGGCAGCTGCTCGAACCGGTACCCCGATCATGTCCAATTTAAACAGAGTTCTGGAACTTTCTACAATAAATCTTTTTTTTAAAATTTGGTGAACTTAGCTTAATTAGTTTTTAAGTTATCGCTGAGACGGACGGGCGGACGGACGGACGGACAGACAAAATTAAATCAACTCAGAATTCGGCACTGATCAAAAACATACACTTGAGTCTATATCTCAGACCATTATTTCTTAGCGTTACAAACGGTAAGGCAAATTTAGTATACCCTTCGAACATACGTTTGTACGGGCATAAAGAATTATTTGAATTTTGAACAATGTTTCTGAAATTAAAAAAAAGGGAGAAAAATTGTTTAATTGCCTTGTGAAAGAGCTTAGGTGAACCATTTGTGTTTGATCCTAAAGTTAGTCAATGTTTCGAAAGCTGCTAATAAACAAAGAAACTTTTTATTTTGGTTTTCCGCTGGACGAGGTGATTAAAAAAAAGAACATTAAATTAAATCAAAAAGACAATCAAAAACTTTATATTTAGTTAAAATTGTATTTCTTGAAAACTTAGCTTACCTCCATGTTTTTAGCATTAAAGCACCATACGTCAAAGAGAAACCAATTTCACGCAACCACACACGTGCGGTGCATGTATACAAAGACGGATGTGGATACATAACTATAGTCTAAAATAAAAAAAAAATTATTTTTATTAATTTTATTAATTGTATTAATTTTTTGGAAGCGCACACTGAAAAAATAAAGCTTGTTGAAATCAAAAACGTTCCGTTGTAACCCGTAAAGTGGTAAAATTAAATAAGGAAATGTTTGATATTAAAATCGATTGCATCTTTGATTTTAAACACTTAAAATTGTAGTTTAAATAAAAGTTGATACACATATTAAAATGTTTGATATTAAACACTTGTAGTGTATAAATTAAATACAAAACAATTGTTAAACTAAAATTTCGTTGTTAAAAACATAGTACATTCAATACCAAAAATGTTTATGTAAACGACACGTTATACGTACACATTTTAATTGCAAATTCAAACATTTTCGTTATTACCTATAAACGAAAATGGTCATTTAAAAACAATAATTGTTATTATGGTAACTGTAAATTTTTTTTTTTTCAAAATATGCTTCATTTAGCTTTGATTTTATACATGTCATAATACGTCATAAACAAAAAAATAATTTAGCATACATTTTAGTTGTTACTTTCACACGAAAAGTGTAAGCTAACAATAATGATTGCGATTATGGTAACTGTAAATCTTATTTCTTAAAATATATACTACATTCGATTTTGAATTCAAACACTTCGTGATTTTGACCAAATACTGAAATAGTTTAAGAATAAAGTTGGGTCAAACCAATGGTTTGTATTGTAGCACTTTTCCCTTCGCCAAGTGAAAATTCTGTTTTTAAATACAGTCTATGTATACCTATCACACTATTAAAATTTTTTTCATTCATATACAAAACTATTTCTGGGATTGCATATATTTAGGATGAACGATTTATGCAGTATTTGAAATAGAGCAAAAATAATATAAAGAGGGGTTAACATAATGCTCGATTTTAAGGTTTAAATGTGTGAGTTAAGAAAAATAATTATATTTTTTAATGTCATGGAATTTACCGTTAACTTTTAGCGTTTATAGACATTTGAAAAAGCTTGCGGTTTCGGAAATATAGGGTGTCAAAAATTCAAATTTTACAAATTTCAAGGGGCGATAACTTGAAAGGGGGCGGAGATGGAAAAAAATTTTCTTCTAACGAAATGAACTATTTGGTAATGTCTAAAAGGCCCTAAAATTTCAAGCTTCTACAGGCTGGGGTCTAGAAGAAAAACGAAATCAAAAATTTGGAAAAAAAAAGACTTTAGATAACGGTAAATTTGAACGGCCATTTTGTTTTTCTAAAGTTTAGCTATAGTATACCGTGCTAGAGGAAGCAAGCCATTGTCTTTCTGCGTTTGCAAAATTTCAAAAATGCTTATGGTTTCATTGCAACAAATAGTTAAAAAAGGCCGTTTTTAGGGTTTTGGGGGGGTATAACTTCTAGAGGGGGGGAGATAGGTAAAAATTTTGTTCTATGGAAATAAGTTTCTGGTAAAGATCTATGCACGTACAAAATTTCAGCTTTCTATCTTCAACGGTGTAGAAGTTTTGTAAACAGACACACGGACAGACGGACGGACGGACGGACGGACGGACGGACGGACGGACGGACGGACGGACGGTCGGACGGACGGACGGACGGACGGACGGACAGAGTGAAACTAATAAGCACTTTTTTTCAAAAATTTTTTGGAAAAGTGCTAAAAACGAAATCATTATACATTTACTATGTTCGTTTTTGTTTTCAAAACTAAACGTTGTTGATGCCATTTTACAGTTAAAATACGGATAATAAATCAGAAAAAAAAATTCCGCATTTCAATTGTACTGTCTACCTCGTAAGTTTGTTTAAAGTTTAAAAGCTAAAAGTGAAAGAAAAAAGTGTTTTGCTATAATTCCTTTTTAATTATAAAAAAAATTAAAATAAATAAAAAAGTTTGAATAATTTTAAAATATTAGTAATTTATTTGAAAAAAAAAGTATTAAAAATATAAAAGTTGAAAAAATTTTATTGAAAAATAACAAAAATTTTTGTGGAATTTATTTTTATTAATTTGGAGATAACAATGTAATATGTGTATATAAGTCAAGAAGAAAATGTTGATAGGCAGTTAAGATATGAAATCTAGTTGCACAAGTAAAATTATGTTGGTAAATAATGGGACACTTTCAAAGTCAAAATAAAAGGAATTTTTCCAACAAAATAAAAGACAGGGAGTCTCTGCAAATTTTAAATAAATTGAACTCCACAGATATATCGGACAGTAAGTTTGTAATAATTAAAATTAAATAATAATTATGATCATGTATACCAGTTGATTCCGGAATATTCATGTATTACAGTGAAATTCCTCTGGGTTTGTCTATGCTTACCGATACACTGAGTTTTGAAGAGACAGCTTTAATAGTTTAACAACTGTTTCAACACTTTATATGGTAACAACTCATCTTTTCAGCACTTCGTATATCGGCAGATATAAAAGAAAACTAGAAAACAGCACATATTTCACAAATTCCAAGCAATTTCCCTTTACAATAAAAAAATTCCAGATTCAACTGTTGCATAATTAAAAAATAAAATAATCAGTATCTAATATAAAATCTTGTACAACCAATTTTAGGTTCGGTTGATCATTTAATTTTAGACCTGTTACATGCGCTATTGCCGCCATCAATTAGACATTGCTCCAGTACCACGGAATTAGATTGTAAAAAACGAAAAATTTTGAAATCAACTATAAAGGATTCGCAACAGTCGCTTTTAATTAAGGTTACACGCCAAACAATATCTATCCAGCAGTTGATGAGCTCTCCGCTAAATTAAGAAAACAGGGACAATCCCTTCAGCCAGTAATTATTTTTAATGTAAGTGACAACTCATATTTAGTATACTACGACGACATTAAGTACAAATTTGAGCTCTTACTTCCCGCACTTGACACTTGCTTTAAGTTTTTTTTTGTTTTATATTTAAAGTACTCTGAAATTTTGGATATTTTGGTTTTAATAAACGAGCTTAATAAAAAATGTTAATTTGCTATATATGTAAAACTACTTCATTTAGTGAAGTACAAACTCTAATTTATCACTATAAATATTTCCACAATTTACTTCCAACTGATGATTTTGTTTGCCTTAATTGTAAACAAACCTACAATTTAAAAAGTTTCAAACGCCATTTTTCCCGTTCTTGCAGAAATATATTAAATTTTTTTTTTTTAAATATTGTCTTCTACGTAGGCGTAAATATGTAGAATATTATGTTAATGAATTAAAAAAATTAAGGCTATTTAGATATGAATACTTTAATATTTAAATATGAAAACTTCGTAATTGAAATTTTCTTGGAGTATTATTGTGGTTTTGGGTTTGCACTTACATAATACTCGTATATTTTATTTTTGCGTTATTTGTCTAACTATGTAAATTCTATGAAAGCCAAGTATTCTGGAGATCCTTATACTAGAAATGTAATTTAAGTTTTTAATAATAAACAATGTGTTAAAATAAATAATATTTTTGTTAAATTTTAAGAGAACCATTATTACTTATTAAAATTACTAGAGTACATATGTACAACAAAAAGATAGTAAAAACTTTGATATTACATAATTATGTATTTGTTTCTAAAAATATTTGAAAATACACAGTTAAATAACATTGTATTATCTTATTCAAATAAAGAAATTAATAACATTTCAAAATTTAAAACTTTTAATTAATTCCTCGAAAATGAGACACAAATTATTTAATATTTATTTACATTTAAAATTGAAAAATTAGATGATAAGCTATACTTAATAACTCAATTAATGATTTTGAATAATTTGCATATTTTTTTAAGTAATTATATTATGCAAAAATCATTATATAATTCAAAATCGTTATTTGAGTGCTATGTAGATTGTAATTTTACAATTTTAAATGTAAATTTATAATGAAATGTAGTAGAGCAACAACTTTAAGTGATAATTTGACTGCACAACATTGTTATTGCACAACTAAACGTTGTAAGCTAACTATTATTTAGAGTACAGTGAAAAGTTCGGTAAGTTAGTGTAAAACGTTTTTTGTTGGCCGAATATTAAAAATATTACATTAACTACTTATTTAAACACAATAATGTTGCAGTAACAATGGAAATAGTAACTTTTTCTTCTCAAAAATTGACTATTATTCGTTTTCAGTATTAAACACATTTCATGTTTGACGCAAAATCATACACGTTTTGTGTTTGATTTCAAACATGGTTTTTTTTCGGTGCATGCATTGTAAGCATATACATATGTACATAGAACAAATTGATTTTCTATGAAAGTGCAGTTTTCAGTTCCAAATTTTCAAATATAAATAGAATTAAATTCGTCGAAACAACATTTTTTTATAGATTTATTATAATATTACAATATTATATGTTTATATTATATATATATTATAAGTGCATAGACTATTCATTCAAAAGGTACTAGGTTCGATCCCAGATTGTGGTAAGAAACATATGATGTATTAAAAAAACTGTTGTTATTAAAATTATAAATAACTAATGTTTGTGTTCACAATTGTTTTATTACAGACGATTCTCTATAACATTATCTAAATAAGTAACTTAGTTTACTAAAGTCTCAAAAATTTCGACTTTTTTGCCTTATATACTGATTTTAAGATTGTTAAATAAATTTTAAATATAAAATTTTGGCATGGAACAGCATAGTTAAAAAAAGTTTGGTCAAGCCAATGGTCTGTATTGTAGCACTTTTCCCTTCAACAAGTGAAAATACTTCTTTTAAATACAGTCTATGATGCATAACTACCACACTATTAAAATTATTTTCATTCATAAACGAAACTATTTCTAGGATTGCATATATTTAGGATGAACGATTTATGAAGTTTTTGAAATAAAGCAAAAATTAAAATAAAGAGGGGTTAACATAATGCTCGATTTTAAGGTTTAATTGTGTGAGTTAAGAAAAATAATTATATTTTTTAATGTCATGAAATTTACCGTTAGCTTTTTGCGCTTATAGAAATTTTAAAAATCTTGCGGTTTCAGA